AGCTGTTTGGCCTAATATGGGGTTTGTATGTATGTATTGTCTGAGCAAGTGCGGTTGAATAGGTAGGTAGGAGATGGTCTGTGACAAAGGAGTCAGGCGAGTGAGTGAGCAAGTACACGGAGAGACGAGGGAAAATAGTCGGTGTGAGAGCGGCAGCTTTAAGTTCTGCAGATTGTGAGCATCAAGAATCTAGGAAGGAATAATTTAGTCGGCCTTGGAACCTTGGAACCTCGAGAATGCATTACGGTACTCGATACCTACAGCTGCACCTTGGCTCCGCAATCTTCTGGCCAGAACATTACAGTAGGAAAACCAAAATCCCACTGAAGCGCCAAGGGGTTGGCAAGTACCTGCTACAAAGGTAGTGCCATGGCGGGTCTAGCTCATGGCTGTGGCCTATCACACACCTAGAAGAACAGGCCTAAAGCACCTATCCTATCTTACCATCTTACCACTCACCACTTCACGGCTGACGCTGCAGACTGCAACCAGCCGGTCCTCAACTCGGAGACCGAATGGTTGCGGGATGGATGGCCTTGTTCGCTTATTTCCTTTCCCATCACATTGTGCCGCCTATTCTAAGTACTACAGCTTGTAGATACCTAAGTATGGCGTGCCATCAGAGCATCCCTCTTTTCACACGCTTTCCCCTTCGTACTATGCTGTACAACGAATATCCAAGACAGTTGCGACCTATTGCTACCTACCTGGTAGTCTACCTAGTGTGTGTGCTGTAATGCAATGGCTTAGAAGCTTGGCTTAGTCGCTTGAAAGCTGCAGCAGGTAAGCAAACAGAAACCCCCGGGCGTTCCGACCATTCCAGCAACTGACAGCAATGCCTCCATGTTTGAGTGTTTCTACAACTCAATTGTTATCTGACGGGTTGGTCTGACACGTGCATCGTGTGTTTGTGTTACCCGGTGCCTGCCCCGGCCTTTCGCCCATGCTCCAGACTCTCATCTGACAGCAGACAGCCCGACCGTCGTCACATAACCAATCCTGTAAATCTGCAAGGTAATAAATAATATGACATGCCATGACATGACATGACATGACGCAAGCCCTCCGTGTATAGAGAAATGCCCCGGGCCCGGCATTCCGTGCTGGAACAGCTTCGGGCAGGTTATCAAGCGCGAGATGGCATTCTCGAGGTTGTCCATGGCAATCCTCAGGGTCGATTATCTTCTTTAGCTACCTCGTACCGTCGTCAATCCCCAGCTCATCTATAAGTTGAAATGTCTCCGTCAAACAATAAACCAGCCAGGCGTAAACGAACCCGGATCTAGTCTCACGCAAGCAATCCAAAACGCAGTGACAAGAAATGCGGCCAATTAGGCTTTACCAACATCTTCGCCAGCTTCGTCCTTCGGTACTTGATCAATGACGGTACTACCGCTAACGAATGAAGTAGATCTAAAACGGTTAGCCATAGTGGCCCGCTTGAGGCTGTCTGTGAAGCGAGGAGATAGTACCACGCTCGGCCGCCTTGACATGTAGTATCATTATCCATCACGTATACGCCGATGAGTTTCGGACCGAGACGGGTCTGACAGCGGTTCAGGTGGCTTGAATAAGGGTGCAGGATGAAACATGAGAACGAGACCAGTATCCAGTATCCAGCAACATAGCCCGGTGATAGGAAGATTCAGACACGAAAATAAAACCGCTGAATGAAACGACAACTTGCCATCATAGCTTAGCATCGGCCTTTTGTTTCCCTAGGTATCACAAAAAGGTATCGAATAGTTGCTCTCAACTAAGCATGCCGAATGAGTGTGGCCTTGGTGTAGGAACTGTACCTAGTTCCCGGGATTGACCTCTACAGAAGTAGCTGCACAGCTTGTGTTGCTGCTGATAACTTGAATCGCACGGGCGTTGCGTGAATGATGTCGTTGGACAAGGGCTCAGCGTTCTGATAGCCCGTCACCCATCTCTGTTGGGGGGGTTGGTAATGATGTACCATACATCAGGCGAGTCTTCTATTGCACAGGCATCTAAATTAGGATCATGGTGTGCCGTACCTCGATAGATTGGTACTCATGTGGATAATTCGTGTCGAATAAGGAAATGGTCTATAGAGAACGCGTGATGCAAATTAAGGATGCATATTCCCAGTGAGGCAACCCACGATCCCTCACCACAACGAAAATTCGCTTGATGTCTCAGCCATATCTTCTTGTCCTCGACCCCTCGGAGCAAGACCTATATCAAAATCGGAAGGACTTTAACAGCACCGGTGAGCTCCGAATGCTACCAGGCCGAATCCGATATTCTCAGCAAGCGTGACATCAGCCTCGACCTTTCCAGCATGCAGTTACTTTAAGTTACTTTAAGACTACGCTCTTAATCTTGTTGATGTATGAACGATAGCACCATGGATTCAAGTTGAAGCAGAGAAAAGCCAGCATAGATGGCCAAAGAAAAGTCCTTCAGCCTTCGCCCTAATCGGCCCGAAATAGTTTCGGAACGCTATGCACTACTTACAAAATCGATCAAACCGCTTTTCATATCTATTTATCCAGAAGCCATATCGACAGCCTACCCACCAGAATAGCAACACGTTAAACCAAGAGCTAGGAACAACCGACAGAGCGGAATTACGCCGCCCACCACTAGCGCAATGATACCCCACGAACCATCAAGCTAGTTTCATCTGTTCCGTGATCGGCAGGTGAACACCACGGAGCTTACCTCAACCCAGTCGCACGGGCGGATGGCGAGATACGATGCCCTCAACAATGTAACACGAGGCTTCCCAAGTGGAAACAAGATCGCCCGCATCCCTGACTGGAACCCCGACCTTGGCCCAGCAGTAACCCCGAAGCCTTCCGCGGTAGCTGAAGGGAGATCGACACTTTCGTCCACCTCAGTCTTCTCCGCGGAATCAGACCCTTACGAACAGGGTGTGATTTACTACACTACAGGGCACTATGGCTGACGAATTGCAGGATCGTTGACTTGCATGTTGATGCTGTCCTAGCTTTTATTCGCTCGTCGTTCGATTATCTACCAGGCGGGTTTATAAGAGCCATGGCATCATTGGCTCGTCTAAAGGGAGCGGGCGCGATGTGAGTATAAAGCTCGTCCTTCGCCCCGGGTCAACAGCATATTTGATCGTCACGGCCACATCAGTTCAGAACTGTAGTGTCAGCCCATCAAATCAACATGAAGGTTGCCCTCGCCTCCGTCCTCGGTCTCGCCAACGGTGCCATCGCGGCTGTCCAGGGCTTCGATATCTCCCACTATCAGTCGAGCGTCAACTTCGCCTCTGCCTACAGCGCCGGCGCGCGCTTTGTCATCATTAAAGTGAGGCCTACCGCCATACGAATATCAATCAATCCAACTAACCTCGTGCACAGGCCACTGAGGGAACAACTTACATCGATCCCAGCTTCAGCTCCCACTATACGGGTGCTACCAATGCCGGTCTCATCCGCGGCGGGTACCATTTTGCTCACCTCGTACGTATCATCCCATCTCTTATTGAGAGCATTGTGTAAAATATTATTACATAAGGCGGTATTATAAATTAATACTAGGTGTTTAATTAGGACAGCAGCTCTGGCGCCACTCAGGCGAACTACTTCCTTGCTCACGGCGGTGGTTGGTCCGGCGATGGTATCACACTCCCCGGTATGCTCGATCTTGAGGGTAGTTGCGTACTCTCGGCCAGCGCCACTGTAGCCGTGAGTAATTCTCGGAGTCATTTTGTTCTTGTTTTGGCAACTTTTAGGGCACAAGCCTTCCTTTCTAATGTCTAGAAGCTTCCGAAATCCTCATAAATCACTCTCAAAGTGACTATAACTGACTCCGAGTGTTGCAGTGGATCAAGGACTTCAGCAACACCTACCACGCTAAGACGGGTGTCTATCCCCTTCTCTACACTAACCCCTCGTGGTGGTCGTCCTGCACTGGCAACTCGAACGCTTTCGTCAACACCAACCCATTGGTGCTCGCTCGATATAGTAGTTCTGCTGGCACACCGCCTGGTAGCTGGCCTTACTACACCATTTGGCAGTACAATGACGCTTACAAGTAGTGAGTAATTCCCGCTGCCGTTCCCTTGTAATTTGGCAACTCCGGAGCATGAGATTGCTTCTTAGGGCCAAGATAAGGTTCAGAAGCTTCTGAAGCCCTCACAAATCACGCACTAAACAGCAATAACTAACTCCGAACCAGCGGCGGTGACAGCGACACTTTCAATGGTGACATGGCTGGCCTCCTCAGACTTGCCAAAGGATAGGTATTTGGACCTTGATAACTCTGAGACATCTATATGTATCTATAGATAAAATCAATGTCCTCGACACCTATGGTCCCTTAGTTGGCAGCGTTTATTATAAGATGTGAGGCGATTACCAAACTAAGGTTAGCTACCCAATACTGAGTTAATTGATTGAGAGCGCCCTAGTAAGCTAGGAATTGCATGACTTATGATAACGGGAGTTAGTCACCTTGATATAACTGTGCGAACAGACTACACTCATTAATTTGATGCTCTCCTTACAAATATCCTACATATCTTTCGCTAGGAAGTGTTATGACATACAACAAGGAAATTAGAGTAGAAAGATGGCTTTTAAAATAAATTCAACATATTAGATCGTATGTCCATGTTTTAGTAACTGCACAGATTTAGAGTCCGTTCCGCATACATTCTTGCTTGCGGGCCTTAAACTAGCCGGAGAGCTTTAACAACGTCACGGAGACGTGGGATATAAATAACAATAACTTCACACCGCTTGCATTTTACCAACTCGGCCTATAATTGATCAACAAGTACAAAGAACGTATAAACCTATAGCAGCAACCATGCTACCTAGGTAAGTTTCGATAAATTTCTGGCAATGTCTTTGGTGTCCCATAGCCTTCTACCTCCCGTTTAAATAGTCCGCAACCACTCACCACCACAGCAACGGCGACTACGAACGCTTTATACCCAATGCAAAACCCGACCTTCTGACAGAACACAAGCTCATCTGCTATTAAGAGATACGAACGGTGCGTTGGGGAAGAGGTCATCCCGCTTCATTTGGGTTGAAGAGTCATCGGTTCAAACCCGGTACGTGCCCGGCTTCCATAATTTCATAGGGATCTCATAGTATTTTTGTTTTCATGACAAGTATTTCAGACATCTGGTGTTTTCTACAGCTCTGCTTTGCCCCACGTTTTATTGCATTAAGTTGAACTACATGAGCGATTTAGCAATGAAGTTGATTTGATTACATCGCAATACCTGCGACACAAGATGCCCTGTGCAAGGCCATATCAACCTTATACTTACCAATATATGTTCGATTTTAGATTCTTATCTAGTATTTATTTCATTTAGTGCCCACCAAATGGAACTCGAAAACATGGCTACAATCTTACCAGAATCGAAGCAAGGTGTCCTTTATATCAACATAAATGTTTATATTAACTTCCTAAATTGATTATTATTATGCTTTATTTAAACAAAAACGTCAGCCTTGAACTAGGCAAGATTTATACAGCAGAGATTGGTCCCTAGATCGTCTTTAGCTGTAACAAAGGCTTATATAATAAAGGCTTAGAACAGTGTTCTATTCAACTAATAATTCTCTTTAGGTCTAAAGGGTCTATGCCTTCTAAATCTAATCCTCGATATAACCTCGACTTATACCTCGTATTTATAAACAGCCGGAAAGCTGGCGCCTTAGGTATTTATCTATTACCCTTCCTTTAGCTATTTTAGATCTAGTTCGCAATACGAAGCTTTTATAACTTTTATAAGTCCCGTAATACTCGCCGACTAATAGTTGCGGCTCCTTAAGGCTGCGTGTCTTGCCGAAAGGCTGTATATCTGGATGGAAGGCTGGCAGGCGTAGGCACCTAGCTTGGTCCGTGTGACATTGGCTCCAAACCCCTTTGTTAAAATTATACCTTTCGCTTTATGCCACTGTACAAATATGAATATTGAAATTGAGAATTTGGAGATAGAGAAGAAGAAAAAAACCAACTACATACCGCCTCCTTTTCTAAAATATATTTATTAATGATTTAGGTACATGTATTCTTTCCGAAGTGGTGGATAACGTATCCCCGGTCTCGGCCCCGGTTCACCCCGGCATCCTCGTGATCACCTCAGCTGTGGGTCGCCGACACTTTCAATTAAAACTCAGCTATTGGGAATAGCCGATTGCCGATATGCAAAAAAAGACATCTGCCGCGCCGTAGAGCAACCTAACCCAAGTAGATTCCATTTGCCGAACGTAGCTCAATTACTGGCGGGAAAAGGACCAGGATGCGTTACGGGACGCAGGACAACGGGCCAAAGCCGGTCGCAGCTCCGGACTCTCCTGACCGTCCCACGTCGCCGCGCGCCAACGACGAGGCGACGCCAGTCCAGGCGGACGGTGGGAATTGGCGGCAACATATGCGCGACTTCTACGAGAGGAATTTCGGGTTGTTCTTGGTGTTTTCAGCGCAGACTTTTGGCTCAGTGGTGCGTCCCGGTATTGCCGTGATCTACGCAGCAGCCTTCTTCGATGTCCTTTTCACACGTCTACTTAATACAAACTCCTTTCCCACGGGCACCGGTGCCGCCGATCTACCGATGGCTAACTCGCTGCTATAGATGAGTACGGCGGCGAAGCTATTGACCTCGAAAGATTCCCCCAACCAGTTCCATGCCTTGCACATCATCTTCGTCCGAATGCTGGCAACCGCTATTCTGGGCTCGTTGTACATGTGGCACAAGAAAGTCCCCAACTTCCCTCTTGGACCGCGAAACATGTTTCATTTGTTGATTATGCGCGGTGCCGCTGGCTTCGTCGGCCTCTTTGGCTTGTACTGTGAGTCGTCCCATTTCCCCGTCTGAGGCTCAACAGATCGCGACGCACCCAACGCTTCCTAGTTGTATACAGAAAGGCGGATTCTGAAACTGATTGACTTTCTTCGCAGACTCGCTTTCTTACTTGGAAATTTCGGATGCTACGGCCATCTCCTTCCTGGTCCCGACGTGGACTGCTATTCTTTGCTACGTCTGGCTGGGGGTGAGTTGCCTTCAAAATCCAAAAAGGTCCCGAAGAAGAAAAGAAAACGGCAGCTTATCCCTTGTATAGGAACCCTACCGTACCCAAGAAGCCCTCTCAGGCCTTATTTCGCTAGCTGGCGTCCTCCTCATCGCACGACCGGCTTTTCTATTCGGGAGAGCAACTGTGCCCGACAACGAGGACGTGACGGTGACAATGTTCATCGTAGACAGGGTCCAAGAGGGATTGCCCGTCGGCTCCCCGTCCCCGCCACAGCGGACGCTCGCTATTCTGTGCTCAATCATGGGAACATTTGCAGCGGCGACGGCATACAGCACCATCCGGGTCATCGGCAAACGAGTGCATTCGCTGATCAGCGTAAATTATTTTGCTACGCTATCGACGATCGGCTCCGGTTTGATTATCCTGGTTCACCCGGATCTTCACTTCATACTGCCGAAGGGCGCTATGCAATGGTACGCCAGCAGCGCTGCTGCTCAATATGAATGCTAACAGGTGTAGGATACTGTTATTCATCATTGGAGTGGCGGGATTCTTGCTTCAGTTCCTCCTGACAGAGGGGCTGCAACGAGAGAAAGGCGGAAGAGCGACGAATATGACGGTAAAATCCCAAGTTATATAAGCAACAACACTTCGGACTCGTCTTGCTAATCGGTTTCGCCGTTTTCAGTACTTTCAAATGGTGCTCGCACTCATCATCGAGCGGGTCATCTGGGGAACGACGCCTGCGCTGCTGAGTCTGGTAGGAAGTGCTTTGATCATTGGTGCGGCGATATGGCTAAGCCTGCAAAAGGCCAAGCCGAACGAAGTGAAGGAGAGAACCGCTGTTGTCGATGAAGAGACTAGCCTGCTAGGACCCGGGAGAAGACAATCTCAAGCACAGGACGAACAAACTCAAAGCAGGGAGTAGATACCTACTGGATGGGATCACTTGGATATTAATATTAATGGCTTGGACATTAGAAGGGGCGGGGTAATACAGTACCTGATGTTTAAGGAACTGCCTCCGCCGACATACGATGAATGAAATAGTATAGTAGATTTGTAGTCGACCTTGAATTTGCCGTTGCCCAAATTTGCGGAGGCCGGTCGGTAGATGTAGGTATGTAGCTATTGACATTGGTTACCTAGTACCAGTTACATGCATGTTACAGTACTCCAGTAGGTATATAGGTACTTACCTAGGTATTTTAGGAGGTACATACTTGTTGGAAAGCTTTGCTTTCCCGAGCACGTATTGGCAATGACAATTAAGTGCGAGGGAAGGCGGAGCTTGGGAAATTCATATCCGGAACCCCCTCAAACTCTAAAAGTGTCTGCAGCCTTTGGTTTAAAGCCTATCTATCTACTATATAACGGCATATCGCTTTATACGGGTTATCGAGTTACCTAACTATAAAATTTTAAATTAAAGTGCTTTGCACTTTGATTTACAGCGTATTTAAAATGGGAGCTTCGCCGGCAAAGCTTTCCATTTTAGGGACAACTAGCTTGGCACTACACGGTTTTTATATGTAAGTATTCGGGAGGACCCTTGTGCAGGGGGCCTCAGTCTTGGCGCCAAGATAAATCTCTGCCCAATCACAGATCGACTGACCAACAACCTCTAAATTTCTGGGTGGCTCTACTGTGAAGCTTCACACTCTACCGGACGCTCAAGGCGACCTCCACGGCCGTTGACACAACTCGGAAGCCAGCTCCTCACCCCTCGCCGAGAAGAAAAGGTATCCGACGTCGACATCACCGATCAACCGAGTCGGGAGACGGGCGAAGAAAAGAGACACGATGGCGTCGGAAATCGCCGCCGGTATGCGCAGGGCGGCCAAGGAGATGCACGGCATCGTCGTGTCGGCCGGCTTGATGGACAAGACGGTCAAGGTGCGACTGGGCGGTCAGAGGTGGGAGCAGAGGGTGCACAAGGTACGCCATCGTCCATCGTCACCCATGCAACAGTGTCGCCTCCCGACCTCAAACTGGACCTCGACTAACGCTTTTTCTTAACAATCACCAGTGGTTCAAAGAACCACGCTATAAGCTCGTCCACGATCCGCGCAACAGTCTCCGGCAAGGCGACGTGGTAGCCATCACGCCATCCTGGCGCGAGTCGCAGCATGTGCGGCACGTCGTGAAGCACATCATTGCGCCGTACGGCGGCATCGGTATTGATGAGCGGCCCCCCGTGCCGACCATCGAGGAGCGCGCCGCCGAGCGCATCGCACAGCGCCAGGCAAAGGACGATTGGAGGGCCCTTCGCCGCCGTGTCGACGAGGCCACCCAAGCCACTGAACGGTTGTCGCTTGATGTCAAGAAGGCGCTCGCTCGTACGGGCGTTTGGAAGAATGTTGCATGATAATGGTTGTGTTACACCGGGTTAGCATCCAACATCAACGCGGAGGAAAATGTACGACGGATAGGAGAAGAGAAGTGAGGAATTAATACGAGAGAAATATCTTGGGTTGCTCACTGACATATTTTGTCACGGTGCTATGGGAATAAGATGAGGAGAACAAGACGGAAGGGAAACGAACCACATTCTATGTTCGACGATTACTCACTCGTTATGGCAGCGACACTTGAGTTTAGGGATCTCCTCTACCTTCGAACTTGGGAGAGAGGAGAAAGACAGTGACGGACTGGTAAGAGATGGCGGGAAAATTCACGCGTGTATATATATGCCAATAATGTAACACTATCTGTGTATGGCACTAGCTGGGACCCTGGGGGGGCCGATATTCAAATTTACCAAATACGCCAATGCCGACGCTGACACCCATTGCCTCTCTAGCATCTAAGAAACTCCTGTTTTTATAATATTAATTACTTACGGAGCACGGTTCCTATCCGCTTCATCGCTTATTGAAACCGCTTTCCCATCAATCCTCGGTAATGTACGTTGGGACCTTATCCGCCACGTTCGCCAAACTGCTTCGCCCAGTTCTCGTACTCTTTGAGACCTTCCTGATCCACGCTGGGACGGATAGTCCGAAGACTGGCTTGGAAATCCACTAATTCAATAGGTCGAATCTGGTCCATCGTCATGTGGAGGAGGGCTTCGC